GATGATGATGATGATATTATTTACATTGAGGAAAACAGACATACATGCTTGTTGCTAGGCAAAAAAAATTAAATTTAAAAAAAAAACCCACACCATGCTGAGTTATTATAGGTATCAAGAACACGAGTGGGTGGGGGTGAGGGGATGGCATCAAAGAGAGAGCTATGGGTGGCTGGTCAGCAAAAGTAAGCTGTCAGGCCATCTGCCTGCAGGAACTGATGACACAGCGACTGCGAGACATGAAGCCATTATCCTGTCCTTGGTGGCTGAGCCTCTCTTTGAAAAGAACGGAGACATTCAGGGTCTGCTCACTGCCCACACCAACACCGTGAAACAAAACTACTGACAATTTCAAAGACACATATCATGAACTGACTCATGGTACATCATCATCATCATCCATGCATAGTTTTGTTATAGCCCGCTGCTGTATTTTATAAACTCATTTGATCACAGCAGTGTTAGTGATAACTTGCACAATGACCAGCCATCCTACAAGATCGCTTGCTGAGACTAATGTTTGGGTCATGGGAAGGATAAACCTAAAGAAACTTGTTAGTATAGCACCTCTCCCCGTCTTACAGGTATCTAGCTGATATGCAAGGTTTATCAGCTAATCAAGTTCAGCACGTCCTTAAAGGTTATAAAGCTGGTTCATGTGGTTACATGTACTTTGTCTTCTTCTTCTTCTGTTTGCACCCCTGAAACACCACAGCACGACACATTCATTCACTGCTTGCCTAGATAATTCACCAGTTATTTTTTTTGTATTAGTTTATTGGCAATATGACTAAATGTCTATTTTGTAGACTCTACAATTAATCCCCCCCCCCAAGTCTGTCACAAATCTTATGGAGTTGTATCAGGTCAATTGTCTTTGTAGGTCCTCAGTCATCCACATCGCAGTAATCTAAGGAGCTTGGAATGAAAAGTGACTCAAGTCCCCCCCTTTAGATTAACCATTTTTGGGAAATACAGCCAAAGAATACTAGCTTGACTTTTTTCCCCTTTATATAGTCTATAATATATCTATCTATCTATCAGAGATATTATATAAAGCCTGACTGATTTATTGGTTAGCCAATATTAACCATTAGTATTGCCTTAAAAATCCCATATCAGGCAGGCTCTAATCTTGTACACACATTTTAATGGAAGTCACTTCTTGCATTTCAATTCAAAAACCATGTCCAGAGGATCAATCAAACAGTCTTAATTCACAGTAGATGCTTTGACTTTAAAAGACAGAAATGCAGCATAAGTTTAGATTTAAAAGAAAAAAAAAA